CGGCACCAAAATGAGTGGAAGCCACAAGAAGACACAAACTTGCCAGCTGAAACAAGAAGGACCTGAAACAAATACTGCGGCAGATCAAGGACCAGAGCCGTCAATGTGGATTACACCTAACATGCAAGTAAAATAATAATCTGCACAACTGAACCAACAGACGACATCATGACACATACAGAAAAGATTAACAATGTCAAATATTCCATTTTGTTTGTATCCACAAGCAAAACTCATGGTAGCATCAGTCAGAAAATACAATGATATTTTGCATTGGGAAAATGTACTGTGTTACTTTGAAGACTAAGGTGCACCTGACCCAATTGATAGCATTTTCAATCACCTGGTATGGATCGGGAAGCTGAGGATTAATAAGCAAGGCCAAAGAAGAGGACATGCATTTGGATTATGGTGTTGGTGAAGAATACTGACTATACCATAAACTGCCAGAAGAATGAACTTGGTATAGACACATTTACATAATGGGCTATGCCTGCCCCTTCTGTGCAGAGACGTCCTGCACCCAGTTCTTCTCCACCCAGCTGATCACGTGCTCCTTTCGGCATGTCATATTTTGCACAGAGATCCGACAGTCCAGGTGATTCTTCACTTCTCTGCATACTTTGTGCAGCCGTTCCCAGTAAGTAACTTCTAAGGTCATAGTGAGCTTATTTCTCTGAACATCAAAAAGGTAGTGGCCTTTCTGGTCCAGGGTCTGCTGTACTTTCTCAAACTCACTCGCATCTTGGATGCATTTCATGGAGCTCTGCTTCACCTCATAAAACAATTCAAAATAGCACAAGGAGCTAGATGGGAAAATTATTAATATGCTGTAGTGAAGTGAAATTGCTTAATATGCCACTTTTACTCACAATCTTTGTAACTCTGACCTAGAGAATGGGTGGGACCACGTAAATAAGGTGTTGGTCAGTTTTGTCACTCTGTTGGGAATAACAATGAGTCATCTCAGAATCCCTAGGGTTTCTGAGATACTAAATACTTCCAGGAACAGACACATTCATCTTGCTCTGCCCAAATGGCCCACCCTTGCCATTAGACGCCCAACACATTACCCATCATACCACCTAGACGCTGTGGAATTAACCA